ACCTGTCCCAGAATGGCAGTGCGTAAGACAGAGGTGAGATTAGAAATGGAGATGTTTAACCACCAACACAGCTCTTGTCTCATGCACGTTTCCAAGGAAAGAACCAAGATATTGGGCTGAAAAGAAATGTTCATAGCAGACAACAGGCGTCCTGAGGTCTGCCAGGTGCTTTGGGAGAGCCACTTTCTGCTGATATTTTGTTGTTCAGGTTTTTCCCACATATTTCTTGGATCTTCCCAAGGTCCTGCTTGGCTGCCACCCCGTCCTCCTCAGGGTCACTGCGCTTTGACTGCAGAGGGGGAGAGCCCTGGGATCACGTTGCAGCACATTGATTTGAAGCAGGTGCAGCTTTGGGATGGTTTCTGCTATCTCAGCCACCTCCCACATTCCCGTCTGGATTGCAAACTTTCTTCTTCTTCTTTTTTTTTTTTTTTTTTTATCCCCCCCCCTCCCATTCCCCTTTTGTCAAGAAAATTTACAGAGCTTGTCCTTCATCTCCTTCCAAATATAGGGCTTGTGAATGGAAACAAACCAAGAGATGCTGCTGGAGCTTATCTGGCTTTATTTCCCTGTGCTTCAGCTGGAGCTGAGGTGGGATTTCTTCTTGGTTCTACTTAAAACAGTAGAAAATAAATTTGCTGTGCTTTACCTTTATGGTTCCTTTGCTATCTAATTCACAGAAGTCACAGCCTTTTCCCCTTTAAAATTTGCTGTTTGTCCTCCTTTATATCCTGCGGTGGTGATGGCAAGTGGGACAGCTGCGTTCTCCGAAGTGTAGCTCCCATTGTACAAGCCTAAGGACAGAGAGCAGCTTTGGTGCAGCTGCACAGCCCTCAGCCCCTGTGCCTGCTTCTTCCCCCCACAGACGAGATGCGGTTCAGGTGCACGAGGCACCAGATGGCTCTGCCTTTTTCTAACAAGGAGATGCACACAGACCCCATCACCCCTGGCATCTTGGCTCAGGACCAGGGAAGCACCACTGAGAGCTGGCAGGGCTGCAGGGGAGAGCAGTGGGGTGTGTGGGGCCTGTGGACTCCTGGACCAATCTTTAAAGATTTTTTTTCCACCCTTTATTGGGTTTTAAAAGCAGGGTGCTACCTTGTTTAATGGTTTAATAGATCACTTAGGCAATTTTTGTTAGAAGATGTTATGTATTTTTTAATTTCAGCACAACTCCCATAAGGAGGGCTGTCTGAAGGCTAGAGCTGGGACTCTGAGCCCTGCCTGGGAAGTGGTACCCAGAAATGGCTGGGAGCTGCCGTGCTTCCGAGGTGAAATGCTTCTCCTTCTGCTGTGCACATGTGGCGTAGCAGCTTCCCATGGCACTCACAAAGAAATGTCAGAGCGATAATTCTGGCCAGACTGCTCGCAGTGCAACAGACTGCGATGTCCAGAGCTGCAGCTGCGTTGTTAAAAATTACACAAATAGTCAATTTGCTTTGTGTATTCAGGGAGTCAATAATAATGAGCTCATTCCCCTATAATAAGCAAGTTTATAAAATGCAGAGTTCTCTCAGCATACGGATAGGAAGCTGACGTTTCTTGCCAGCAGCCGCAGGTATGTCAAGGAGCATGCATGCATATCAAGTGCAGTCCTTGGAAATGCTGGCTGCAGTCTTTGGTGAAGTGACGCTCCCTCTTCACCGTGTGATAAAATGAAGAAACAAAAGCAGCTGCTCGGTAAATTAGGAAGTGAGAGACCAGTGGGTTGCAGCGATCCCGAGTGAATTAAAAATCTGTGATGCATGGGGACAAGCCAATTTGCAAAAGTTGCACAGGGCAGCTAAATCCGTGCACGCACCTCTGCTAATATGCCCGTTGCTCAGGCTGTCTCAAAAGATTATCCTCAGTTGCTAGACCTCTGGTGGCTTTCAGTGCATTTAAGAAATGAGGAGCTGCTCAGTGCTAGCCGTAAATTCTTGGAACATCAGGAGCTGGAAGGAGCCCATGAGGATCATCCTAGATCCACCACCTCCTAGGAAGTTTTGGATTCCAGCAGGTGTAACAGAAAACAGCTTGGTGATGGAGAGTAGAGGAAGGATAAAGATGAAAATAAACATCCTGGTCAGCAGGGTTTCCCTGTCCTGCAGCTAGGCTGACTGTGTGGCAGCTGGACGCATACTGCGGCCACAGTTTCAGCAGGAACCTTCGTGGTGCAGTCTCAGCGGGGAGTTTGGCTGCAGCAGTGTAAGCTGTCCTTTGCTTATTGGTAAGCAGTCTCTGCTGACCTGAGCAAGTGGCTCGGATTTCCACTAGGTGCTTCAGAAATGCAGTGCTATAAAACAAATGATCGGTGCCTCATTTGTGCCTCCAGCCCAGAGCCTCTCAAAGCCAGCCCTTTGAATTCTTGTGATTAAGCAGGAAAGTTTGCATCTGAAGCTGTACGTGTCCCTCCCTTCCCCTGTGCCTGGCCTTCTTTCTTCCTTAGCATTCAAAGCCTAGCAATAGCTATTCCCTGTTTGATTATATCATTGGAGAATGGCTGAAAGGTAGCAGTGCTGCTCAGTGGTTCCCCGATGTGAAAAGCAGAGAAATCCTTCATAGCGGTTACCTAGGGATGTGGCGTGCAGCACTCCTCTTCTTCATGGAGTGGCCTCACCTGAGAAGTTGGCTTGTGGTTTATTTCATCTCAGGATCAAAGTAATTTTTCCCCCTTCCAACAGTCAGCTATTGAGTTTATACTGTTTTAAGGTCAAGTACATGAAGGCATCTTGACTTGAGTAAGAATGATGGGTTTTGCTTGCATGCCGGTGGGTTATATGGCCAGCAGTCTCTGCTCCACTGTGTTCCTCTTTACATGAAAGCAGCTAACGTGATCTGCCTGGGCAAAAATGAAAAGTTAATGTTATTTTCAAAAAATATTCTCTCTGCCTTTCAGAGCAGACCCAGCTGTCTGACCACAGGTAAAGAAACCACAGGGAGTTCAAAGGTAGTCAAAAATGTAATCACCTGTATATCAAAATATCAATCATGATATCTCTGTCACCTGCTGCCTCATCTCAGCCCCACAGCTCCTTCCTCCCCACTTCAGCACCCCATCCCACCGGCACCCTGCACGTATGGGGTGTGGTGGGGGAGGATCACCAGGAGGAGGAAGACTCAGGAGACCCTTCCAGCCCTTACTCCTGATGGGGATGCAAGGTGGCTGCCCTAGTTACTTGTCAGTCACCCATGGGTGGCTGGAAGGAGGAAGGAAAGGCTTATTAGGTATGCAGTTAGGTGGTAAGCTTTTTTTTTTTTTTTCCAATTAATTACAAAGAACTTATTAGGAGGAGATGGAGTCTCCTTCAGAGATTTAAGAGGTAACAATACAGCTGAGCTGTTTGCACTGTGGCTGGGTTTACATCAACTGAATGCTGAGTTTCTACTAGTTGAAGTGCTTGAGAGAGAGCTGATGCTGAAAATCCTTACTCATACCAGAGAAATACAAACCTGTTATTGACCATATCCGTGGTTTGCGTTATTTTCCCTGTCCTTGTCTCAGCTTCTGCTTTGCTCATTCTGTGCTGATAAGTGTGGAGCTGTGCCCTCCCTTCTGTTTGTTTTTTGTGGTGAGAAGGAGTCGTGTTTGCTAAATGACTTTGTACAAGCATTTCTCTCATGAAATGTTGTGCTATCCTTCAGATAGTTTCACAGAAAGGAGGATTTGACAGGTCTGAAAGCAAATGTGGAAATTAAAAACTGTCCCACGCCAGGCTGTGGCTTGAGGGATACATTTTACTGTGAATCTGAGTAACGCTGGTGGCAGTTTTGTCCATCTTAGGGCTGACTCTACACTGAATAGTGCAAGAAAGCTGAATTAAGCAGTTCTGTGTACAGACAGGTCATCGCTAATTGGCCGTGATGGGGACGATAAGGGAATTCTGCTTGGCTTATTAACACCGTGAAATAAGCTTTGTGACTTGAGCCTGGTTTGCCTCTTCCAGAGTTCCATCTGCAATGTCCGTAGGGCAGGAGAGAATATTTCGTGTTGTATAAATCGGTATGGGTAAAACAACTCATAAACTCTATAAAAGTGCTTCCATGGGTAAAGTCTAAGAGAAACACCCAAAGTGCCTGTTTTTCTTTTGAGTTCCCTTAGCGTGTTCTCGGTCCTTACTTGGCCAAAGTATTGTGATCTGATTTTCTTGATGTTTGGTCTAATACCTGTTTACAAATCCAGGGGCAATTAGAAGAGCTGACTCTAATACGGGATTCTCATCAGGCAAGTAAAACTAAGCAAGGCAAATGGAAAAGAGTGGGCATGCAGTTCTGCTGCAGTGAAACACGCCCTCGTAAGACTGAAGATGCACGCCGTAGGTGCTGTACTCTCAGAGCAAACTGGTGAGAGCAGTTTGACTCGGGAGGAGAAAACAGACCCTGTGGTGATGAGGGACTCATCTGATGCAACTTTATACACACGATGCAGACGTTCACGCCTGAGCTAGGCCTATAAACTCCACGCATAGTCAGCTAGAGATAGAGGCTTTTTCAGGACATGAACAGTTTGGCTTTATTTTGAGTGTCTGTCTTAAATGGAGGTGAAATGTGTCCGAGTATCAGTTCCCCTCTGTGAACTATATGGGGAGTGGTGGGGGATAGCGCAAGTATCTAGTGAGTGGTAAAATGCAACCTAGTCTATGGGACAAACTCTGACATTTATTTCCTCCTCCTTGAGCCATCCCAGTACTTTCAGTCTGGCTGGACACCTGTTTGTAATCTGGGGACTGGTGAGAGTTGCAGTCTTCACAAAATAACACTGATTACTGAATAATGTGTGCCAGCCTTTGGGGCGAGGGCCATCTTTGTGCTTTGTGTTTATGCAGCCCCAAGCACAGCAGGGTCCTGCCCCAGGATGGACCTCCTGTACGCCACCACAACACGCATAATCAATAATAGCAGACTTAATTAGAACTTTGATCAGTCTCTCTTCCTTCTAATTCATTGTGTTTTAAATCCCTGTGATGTCTAAATGAGGTTTGATAACAATTCTCTGTCTCTCATTTCCTCCCGTCCCACAGGAGCACATTTACAAGCTGATGAAGAGTGACAGCTACGCGCGCTTCCTCCGTTCAAACGCTTACCAGGACTTATTGCTGGCAAAGAAGAAGGTATCTGTTGGAAAGGACATGCTTGCATCTCTTTGCACGTCTTGATTCTCGCCTGCTGCTTGCTGCTAGTGTGAAAATGAAAATATTGTCTCTTCTTTTAAATTTTATTTATGAAAGCAATAAGAACTTTTTGTTTTCCTCACCAGGGGCACAGGGTATGGCATCCGTGTGCACAGCCTCAACATATGTTTTCGAGAAAATATGATGACCCACAATTAAAAAAAAAAAAAAAAAAAAAAAAAGATGTTTGTCTTGCACAGCTGTTTCCCAAATGCAGTGCAGGCAATTAAAACTGCATTGCCTCTTCCTCATGACAAAGATGGTGTCTGGTACGAGAAGCAGAACCCATCAATCTATTAATTGCAAATTTCACCCTTTCTGGTTTTCACCTCCCCAGCCTCCCCATGTGATCTTCCCTTTGGATGCCTTACCTCTAGACTGCCCTGTAGTGATTTCCATTCTTCTTTTCTCCCTTTCACTTGCTCTTGGCACCCAAGAGATGTTTCCTTTTCCTTGGAAACAAGCAGTAATTGCAACCCATGCAGTAATCAAGACTTTCAGCCACTTTTTTTCATGGGAGGACTGGGTTTGAGCTCGTTAGCTTTTCTGGTGCCCGCATGTGCTCTGCCAGTACCGCCTTTCTGCCAGGACCCCCAGTTCAGAGTAGCAGAGGAGCGGTCACCTAGATATGTGGCAGCTCCTACCCACATCTCCATCCTTCCTGAGGGGCTGGGAGGTAAGCTGCAGCTCTCTGCATTGGTGGCTTTGTTCAAATGCTTCCTGCACCTCCTGACTTCCATAAATCTGCGTGTCCGTGTGTGCATGTGCATGCATGTACACGTGTATGTGTCTCTCTCTTGTTTGATTTCCAGGACCACTCATAAGCTGGCACCTGCAGCCTGAGTGTGGGGTTTTCCATCACCATCTTCCCTGCTGTTACTCTGCTGCATTCTCTGTGTGCTGCCAAATTACATTTCATTGGCACCATACGATGAAATCCCAATGATATTTTTGTCCTGATTGTCACTGTGTGTCCTAAAACCATGAGTATTGTGACAAAAGGAGACAAACCCCTCTGTTCACTACGCCTGGGACTACAGGCAGGTGGATTAGGGAAGGTAACAGGGGGCAGCAGTCAGCCCTGTGTTTCAAAATGTCTGATTTGAGACAGCACAGAGCAGTGCTGCTTACATTTGAAAAGGTTAGACCTGACTTAGAGTTCAGAGGCTGTGGGGAAAGAAGGAAGTGCAAGGCAAAGTCTTGTGATGGTATAAAGCATAAAAACCTTTGCCTTCCTCTGAGCCCATAAGCTTACATCGTGCCATCCCCATCCTCCCCCCAAATCTCTGTTGAACACGTGAGGGTTCACGCGCTTCAAATCAGGAGAGTTTTCTCCTCACAGCTGAGCCCATTCATACCAGAGGCTTTTTTTGCAGTCCTTGTCTGCTGTCAGATCAAGCCCTGGATGTGTCAGTGTGAAATCCTCATCCCCCTGCAAAATGCCGGAGGAGCAGGACTTGGCGTCATGTTAACACAGCCATGAAAGCAAGAATCGAGTTTCGTTTAGAAAGATCTGTGTGTGCACAAGTAAACATAGCAAAGCACAAAAAAAAGGCAGTAGGAGATCAGGTGTGGATGTGTTGTGCACCAACTTCACACCATGCAGGAGGGGACTGACGTTACTCTAGAATCCAGCTCTTCACAATCATGCTGCATTGTGCTGAGCACGTGAACATTTCTGAAGCAGCATAGGTACAGAGATGCTAACAGAAAGAACATGACGTTTCTATACATTGAAGTACATGGTAAGATCTTTAGTGCCTTTGGTGTTTGTCTGAGAGGCATCCCTTTAAAGTTCTTCTAAATATCTGGAAAGGAGAAGGAAGGGAAAGGGAAACACAGCGGGCTAGCAGAGCCTGCAGTGGTGCAGGATTTTGTTTAGGGCTTGCACACCATGTCCTGGATTCACTGCTGCAAGTAGATATACAATGCAGTTGTTTAAGACTTGGCGAGTACATCTCTCTGGGGCATGGGTATGCCTTGGCCCACAAATATTATCCTATCCACAAATATTATCCTGCCTGTATGCAATGCCAGTATGGCATAGCCTTAGCTTTATTATTAAATATAAGCTTATTGAAGGAACAGCATTGTGGACTTGGGCTAAAAGAGCTGCTTGCACAAAGCAAATGAACTTTGCTTTTGACTGTAGCTTGATATTCATGCAGAAATATTTCATAGGTATGTTTGTATCAGTTGGTATATTTAGTCCTTTAGCTCCAGAGCTGGGCCGTGGCAAGCTGTGAGGGCAGGCCAAAGGAAAAGGTTGGCCATGTGGCTAAAGCACAGGGCCAGGAGCCAGAGAATCCATGCACATCCCCTGGTTCCCCCACTTATTTCTTGTGTGGTCTTGGGGAAAAGAAAGTTCAGCTTTGCTCTGCCTCATATTCTTTGCTCTGTCAAATGGGAAGAATAAGAGTGACCTGCTCAGCGGAGACATTGCAAGGCACTAATGAATTAATGCCTCAAAAGATTCTTGACATTGTTGAGATGTGGAGTTTGGAAGGCACTATAAGTTCTGCATCATACAATAACTGCACATGTGGGAGCTTCCACTCCCTGCTCTGGGAGTGCAGCAATGAAGGGAAGAAAAAGAGGAAAAGTTGTGGGTCAACACTGAGATACAATGACAGAATTATGAGAAGGATCAGGGAGGATAAAAGGAACACATTGTTGACACCACTGATGCAAGACAGTGGAGGACATAGGCTGTGTACAGAGCAGACATACATACTTTGTTATTCCATTTTATTTTATTTTTTTCCCCTTCGTTCTTCACAGTGTCGTTATTACAAACAACCACAATACCATTGGCCTCAGTCCTGCAGATTCATGGTGCTCAGCAGGGAGCATGAGATTGGCCTCCAGCACGGGCGTGATTGGAAGCAGCGTGCTGGAGAAGAGAAGAGCTGGGTGTAACTCCCTGTCCCACACAGAAGCCTTCCTCCCCTGCCAGGAGGGAGCTGAGGGGGATGAGGAAGGAAGGGCCGAGAGCCTGGCCTGACCTGCACTCACTGCCTCCGTGCCAGCCTCGCCCTGCAACAAGGCAGAAGGCACGGGGCTGCTGGAAGCAGCCACCTCCACAGCCAAGGGCTGGACGGTGCTGAGATCCCCAGCCAACTCCTTGCCTTTTATTTGTGTATCTGAACATCATGCCCCTCTTGTGCTGGCAAGCGTCGAGCATTGCCCTGCTCCTGTTTCTGCTGATAGCATGCAATGCAGACTGCCTCGCAGCAGGTAATGGACCTCTGCACTGCCCCTGCCCTCCTCCCTGCTAGCCAGAGTGGTGGCTGAACATCCTGAGAAGGCAGCGAGCCTTGTGCAGGAACGTGTGCTGTGACAAACCGCCTCACTCAGGGCAAGGAGTTTGGGCTGGGCAGCTTGGCCACAGAGCAGGGATTTATTCCCTGGGCAAAGAGCAGTGTAGGTTCGTTAGTGCATCTGGGAAGGGGTGGAGGTGCACAGGGGCTTTGTTACTGGTGAAGGACCAGCCAGATGTGTGCTCTGCAAGGTGCTGGAGAAGGGAGACAGGGCACTAAGGGACATGGCTTAGTGATGGGACTGAGTAGATCAGGCTGACACTTGGCCTTCATGATCTTGAAGGTCTTTTGCAACCTAGATGATTCTCTGATTCTGTGAAAGGAGCAGAAAAGACCTCGAGCTGCTTTCTATTACTGTGCATGAAAGCAAGGTGAAGTCATGATGCTGGTGGGCATCTCCACGTTAGCTGCCAGCTTGAGCAGTAGCTGAGCTGTCACGGCTCCGGTGTTCCTAACTGCCTGGCACGGGGCAGCCTCCTGCAGGCAGGAGAGCATCCCAGAAGGGCTGCAAAGTCACAGGAGTGAGCTCCTATCGCACCAGGGGAAGCACAGGTTGGTATTTGCTTGGCTTGGTGTGTTACTTTCCTCACCAGCTGGCTCGGGTCCTGTGTTCATAAACACAGAGCAGATGCAAGCTGCTGTTCCAGCCATTTGGTAGCATTGTCCGTGCCCTTCGCTTCCTCACATTGGACAGGCGTAAATGGCTGCCTGAGAAGCTGGGGACCTGATTCTGGCCTTCTCCTGAGCCGGTGTCAGGGAAGTGATTATCCATCCTTCACTCTTGTGCAGCATCGCCTTTCTGCAACACGCATTTTTCTCCTTCAATAGCCAACGAAGTGAATCCTGGGAGGGAAGAAGGGATTTCTGCAGACCTGCAGTTCAGAAGACCAAGCTCTTGGATGCATTTTCTTACCCTTATTCAAATCCCTGGCAAAAAAAAAAAAAAAATGTCAGCAAGGCAATGGCTAGGAGCTTCATGCAGTGAGCATTTTTAGCTGCATTTTTAGCACATGCTTTTTGAAGCACTGTTTTTATCCAGAGCCTCTGTCCTGAGTGCTCTGTATTGTCCATTTAGCTTCCTACTGCAGATTCTGTCCCTTCCTCAGTCCCATCAGGGCACACATGGCCAGTTTGATTCAGCGACAGGACTTGGCTTGAATGTTATAAAGATGCTGAGCAATTTTCTCCTAATTACTTTTAGTAATCAGTGTCAGCTGGTTTTCATAAGATTTTCTACTTACGCTGCCCTGTGCCAGCAGAATCTGCACAAAGGAACTTAAAATTGGGATGGTTGGATAAATAATTAATCGTGGAAAAAGGAAAACTCGGAGGAGATGGTCAATAATTAGCGAATGGCTAATTAGCAAGATCTGTTTTTCTGTACCTTCCTGGGCTGAGATGTTTTCATCTGCAGTGGGGGTGGGGGTTTCATATTTTGCCTAAATACTCACGTCCTTTGTCATTAGCTGGTAGAGCTTGTTGGTGTGTTTGCTGGCGAGGACGGCCCCTTTCCTTTCGGCACCCACGAGGACTGCCTGACCTTGGCCGTGCACATGTTTCTCTGCCTGGGCACTTTGCGGTCGCGGTGTGTGCTTGTGCTAACGCTGCTGGTGTGCTGCAGCTCCGGGGTCCGCAGCCTCATCAGACACTTCCTGCACTGGACCCGAGATGTGTTCGCAGGGCTGAAAAACATCTGACTTGGTCTCTTTTCCTCTTTTTCTTTTATTTTTCTCTTCTTTTTAGTTTATTTTTAAATTTCCTTCCCTGTGCTGGAGAGATGCAGGCAGGTGAAGCTGGGGAGCCTGCACCAGCACCCACACCCGGTGCCAGGAAATCTGCTCGTGCCAGCTCCTCGCTCTGCAGCCAGCCAGCCTCAGCTGCTTTTTATTTTATTAGAAAATGTCACGCCTTGACTCAGAGCTGGATGCTATGGCAATGGGTTTTCCACACGTTCAGCTGGTCCCAGCCTGCTGTCCCCATGCCAAAGGTGCGGGGTTGGTGCAGTGTGTGCTTGCAGGCACCTTCTGTGGAGCTCCTCAGTGATCTGGGGCAATCCATGCCTGCTTCCCCACACATGTCCTCAGTTGTGGTAGGAAAACAGCCTCAGGCGTGGCCACCTGTGCTGGACAAGGTCTTGGCACCCAGCAAGGTGCTCATCATCCTTGAAGACCGCTGCCCTGCGTTACTGCTTGGTGGGAAGCTGCATCACCTTGCTGGCAGCAAAAGCAAAACCACTGAATTTCAGCAGCAGGTGCAGGGGTGCAGCACAGACCAGCTTCATCAGCTTGCTTTCCTTTGTGCCCTGTGCACTCCAAAGCTCCACTTTAAAATACTGCTGGGCTAGATGCCTGTTTTCAGCCTGCAGCAACGTGATGCTGCAGTATGCAAGTGCCTTGGTCTGTCTGGGAGCCTGGCAGAGGCTCTTCTGTCCAGGTGTTTCTTTTCCTGAGTGTAATTGTGCTCTGGTGGCAGCCAGGGTATGTTACTGCCTCCCCACCAGCCACAGAGCCTGCTTTGTCCCTTGACACGTGCCTTGGCTCTGTCCTCAGCATTGGCTGAAGTGACGTCTGCCACACAGAGCTGATGTCAGGTCCCCGTGGCCCCAGAGCCATGATATGGGGCAGCCTGGAGGTGCTGCATCCACAGGGAAAGCCAAGCCTGATCGCGATAACAGCACTGCTGAAAGTGATTGCCCTCGCTGTTTCCTCTAGCTCCCTGACAGAGGTCTCTGCATGGGGCTCTTCCCAGGGGACCTCATCAGCCTCTTCTGCTGTCTTGTGGTGAATTTTTAATGGCTGCTGGTGGTGCAGGTGAGCCAACAGGACAGCACACCCCATGCCTGTGGTAGGGGCCAGGCAGCATTCCCCATTCCTCCTTTCTCACCCATCTCTATCCACCTTGGTAGTCAGAGGCAAGGTGTAAGGAGCAGCCCCTCTCCTTTGGATCTGCAGCCGCCATTTTATGTCATCTTTGTTACAAAGCCCTCATCTGACGAGTTTTAAATAGGTTTCTGGAAGTGGTGCTACAAGCCTCATGTGTGAACTTTGGTATCGAGTAAGCTCAGATTACTTCTATCCCTACAGAAATGTTGTCCTTACTGTTAAATGTTTCAGTATGCTTTAAAACAGTCTAATCAAGTCACTCGGCAGCTCTAAAAATCTGTCCTTGTAGCACCTCTAGCTTTCACTTTCAGTAACACTTCTGGGACACCAGAGCTGAAGTTGTGGCTTTCTCAAATGGCTCTAAGCAGGGAGACTGCTTGACTGCTTCTTCTGGTCTCAAAATGGCTTTGTGCTCTGCTCTTGTTTCTGGTGACCCACCAGGCAGAATCAGGCGCACCTCTGCCTGGGCCTTCAGACCCATCTTGTGGACACCAGAGAGGTGCTGTTAATGGCGGCTGTAACGAAGCAGAATCAAAAGGCTTTGCCTAGACTCCCCAGCACAAGTTTTCATCCAATTTATCTGATACATTTCTGGCTTCCTTACATCTTCGCTACCTGTTTGTGCTCGAGTGCTTTCTCTTGGGGGTTGTTGCTGAACATCTGAAGCCGTGGCAGATGTTGTGGTGGGTGGGCCCCTCTGAGGAGCTGGAGTGCAGCACTTATTTCCAGTGCAGTGTCATGCACCATGCACCACGGTGGCTTTCCTTTAAAAGTAGTTCCTTATCCCCCTCATTTCAGTTTTACTTCCATCTTATCATCTCCGTTTCACTGACTCACCATATTCAAATAATTTTCTCTCTTGGAAATTGCCAATGCTCACAGTTTTCTGACTGCAATAAGCTTTTCTTCATGTTATTGAGTTTCTTACTCTTCTCCATAGCATTTTTTTCTATTAGATATGCCAACAAACATGCCAATAAATTATTTAGTTCTTCCTTGTTAGTGACAATTAGATCTCCCTTGTGCCAAATGAATGAAGCGCAGCAGTGAGCAACCTTCTCAGGGATACTTTAATAAAGCCATGATACATACGCTTGTCTTCTCACAGTGAAGTTGAATATCTTCTTGCATATCAATAGTCCCATTCTCTAGATACAAACGTAGCAGTGCCCTAAATTTGTGTGTGTCTTTCCACGGCCTTGCACAGACATACATATGCTGCCTTATGGTTTGAAGTAGGGAAATGTATTGGAAATCTGCTTCTATCCTCTGGGTTAATAGAGGAATGTATAGGTTCCCTGGCAATGAGTTCAGCAGGATTTTCCTTCCAGCACTGTATTCACTCACACATTGCTTTTTAATGTTGTAAAAGTGACTGTGTGTTTTTTCATCTCTCTAAACAAGTAGATGGGAGCCTCCAATCAGCTGTTTGGCAGATGTTAACCAGAATCAGAGGTCCCAGCTCAAACAGCTACAGAAGGAAAATTCAATGAACAAGAAATCAATACCAATAGCTGTGAGACACGGCAATGCACAGACGCTGTTTGAAGCGTTCAAAAAACTCACAGGAGAAAAGGTGACATTCTCCAAGAGTAGAAGTAGTGATGTCTCATTCTGTAGGGGGTTTTGGTTTCTTATGTTTGCTGCTGCAAACATTGATTACTGGTTTTTACTTTTTTTACAACTTTTTCTTCTTGCTGCTTCCTCATATTTTGCTGCTGTTTTGAAAAACTGCATTTAAGCTGAAGGGTTTTTTTTTCTGTATTTTTTTCTCCCCACTTTTTTCCCCATTAAGCCAGAGAATGAGCAAGGTCGTAGAACTTCTCTAGAAAAGTTCACTCGCAGCGTGGTAAGTTCCTTTTCTTTTCCCTCCTCTCTTTCCTCAGAACTTCATTTTTCATTGGGGGGAATGCGGATGCTTAACTTACTTCATCTTTTATTTTTGCAGATAGCATCTTTGCAGCTTCTCTTTTAGTACTGTAGCTCATCTAAATAGCAGCTCTGAAAAGCGGGGGTGGGAGCAGAATTCCATCACGATGCTCATTCTAGCTAATCGTCATTGCAAAAGCAAATTGATTTTTGTCCTGAGTTAAATGGAAGGATGTCTCTTTGCTGCCTTCCCACTACAGTATTTGTTGTGGCTTTTCCTTGCACAGTGAAGTAGAAGAGCATGGTTCTAGTAGTGCCATTGCAAAAGATCCATGTTGACCTCCGTGCATGGTTCATGCTCCCTGTGTATATGCACATACATAGCCACCCACAGCACTGCAGATGCTCCTTCAGCTGCCCACTGCTGTCAGTGCTCGCGTAAATAATGATGGGCGATACCCTTTGACTACCATGGTAGTGACACCCAAGAAGGAGTGCAGTGACAGTGAGAAATGTGATACTGTTAAACAGCTTAGATAAGGGGACGGTGGGACCTCAGAGGCAGCAGACAGGTGTCCTCTCCTCTTGTCCTTCACCAGACTCCAACCTCCAGCCACCTGGGCAGTGAGAGAGTTCGTCCTGCTCTAGAAGAGTGCTACAGCATGGGGTATGTTGGGCACTGCCAGGGCTCTGTGTTAGCCCCCAGAGAAGGACCCCAGGTGTGGGCAAGACACTCTCCTCCTGCTTGCTTTCAGGAATTCGTCTCAGGGAACAGATGAAAAAGGGGGCAATGTTTGATGCCTACTGCTGGTCCCAGCATGGTGTGTATATTCTGGGGTGTGCCTGTCCTCCCTGGGGTGTCCAGCTGTGCAGTAGTGCAGCTGGCTCATTGGGAAGGGAGGACAGAGGCAGGGGAAGGGTGCAGGATGCAACAAGCTGTGTGCATGGGGTGGCAAAGAGCTAGCACTGAAGACAGCAGCTGGGTCAGTCACTCTAGTACTGCTCAGTATCAAGTACACTTTGACTTGATACAGCACATGCTTTTGGCATACTGCTTTGATGTTTGTGTATCGCCCATCATTAGCTGTAAGGTGTTACCTGGACAGCAGAGTCGTCATGGGGTTGATTCCTGTATATGCTACTGTACAGAACAATATTTTGTAGAAAGTTCATAAACCTTGTCATGGCATTATAACAACTTTATAATGAAGGTATTGGGCTATATGTATATACGGTACATATGCTTGCATTTGTGGGTGTATTTATGTATGTTTATATATATATACATTTTATATGCACAGACAGTGTACAAATATAAAGCATTTGTACATCCAAATAGAAAAGGGGGAGCTGCACAGGTAAGTGTGAGCTATTATATAGCAGATAAGCCTGGAGGGGTTCTTTCTGATGCTGCCATACTAACTGCACAAGGAAAACAAATGTAGAGCTTTGTAGTATATCCACTGGCAGGCTTCCTGAGGAATGTATTTATATAGCTAATGCATATGCACACATTTAAAATATGTTGATACAAAATATATCACTATGCCCATCTGCATATTTACTACTTTCTAAGAGTTTGCCAGAAGAGGAGCAGACAAGATTTTTTTTTCTAAACAAACTATGCAGAAATATTTACACTGAGTGGTAAATTCTGCTCCCAGATTCACCTAATAGAAGAGTAACTCTCACTTTACTAGGCTGGCTGAGTTTATAGCAACACTGCCAAGACCAGATTTTTCTCTTAAATTTGATTTGAAGGGCAGCATGAAAGCCACAGTTTGGGAGGGCAGAATTATAATGTACCTGTAAAGGTAATTGTTGTAGATTGGTCTGCCCTTTAGTTAATTTTTGTCGTATTGGCTAGCATACTGTAAACATTTTCTTTCACTTTTCTTAATACAGATATAAAATATCATCCTGTGATGACACAGTAGCCACAAGAACTAGGAACTGATCTGGAATTTTTATACTTTGCATAATGATGTTTGTCACTACCATTAGATGAGAAAAAAGTTGCCTTGTTGGCACGTCGTGATCTCCTCAGAGGCCAGCATTACCAAAGCAGTAACTTTATCACCTACTCAGGAGACCCAAATTAAGACAAAGTTAATTCTACATGCTCTAGTTCTCCGAAATGCACTGCAGTCCCCGGCTGCGCAGGAGTGAAGCAATTCAGTTCGTGTCAGGGAGGCTGAAGTTAAGCATGTGCTTGAGGCTGGGCTGGGAGCCCTAAGCCTATTTCACAAATAGAATAGGTCAGATTTCCTGTGGTGGCTGTCAGCAGAACACCCAAAACAGCCAGGGCTTGAATTTATTTGTCTTTAGAAGCCATCGGCGGGATGTGGTGGCTGCCAGGGCTGGCTGCACCATTAACTGCCTGTGCAACCAGGCCGCCTCCAGGCTACGCACAGTTTGGCATGGGGAGACCGTAGTAGGCCCCCAAGAAATTTCCAGATTTGACTGTGGTGTGTGACCCAGCATTTGGGGAAATGACTGAGCTGGGGTCACCAAAGGCCTGGTCCTGTATGAGAGGTCCTGCACCTGGTGATGCTCGGGGCCTGGGCAAACGTGCGGCCTCCTGGGGCAGCTGCCGGCTGCCAGGCCCAGGCCTGAGTGGCCGCACAGGATTCAGCACTGGCAGTCAAAATATAACACAAAATTTGGGGTGGGATTTCAGAGTTCCAGGAACTTTGGTTCTAGATAAAAATGTAAACTTTCAGGTAGGTTGAATGTGAACTTCACAATTTAAATGTGGATTGTGAGAATAAAATTTGAAGACAAACACCATTTAGGAAAAGCATCAGGAAATGATTCGTTGAGTAATAGCTCCCAGATGCTTACAGTGGAGAGTAAAGTGGCCATGCTGTGTTTGTTCTTTCTGCACCACCTTGACAATTAGTAAGATTATAAGGATATTCAGAATAGGTTTTAAAATATGGAGCAAATTCTCTTCCAGCATCAATAAGTTATTGTTTCCTGTGGCACTCTGGCACCTCAGGTCTATTGAAATCTCCCCCAAATAATCTTTACCTCATTGTTCCTTCAAATAAAGCAGTTACTGTTTTTTTCAATCTGCTATAACTTTTTACCTGTGACAAGCAACACAGGGAAACAAATCTTACTGATCTTACAGTTTCCTTTTGCATCATTTTACTCAAATTTGGGGAACCCAGTTACACTAACCATGGAGGTGAAGTAGGACCAGAGCAGCCTGGTGGAGGTGGGGTTGGATTGCTTTGGGCCCCTTGTTGATGATGCTGTGTGTGCAGGGAGCTTTCTGTATCAGCTGAGACCTGTTTATAGGCAGAACATGCCAGGCTCCTTAGAAAGTCAATCTTCTCCTCTGAAGTGAAAAAAATCAGACTGACGAACACACCAAGTTTTTGCACCAAATCTTTCTGGGTGCCAGGTGTTATCTGGTTTGCGTTGACCAGGACAGACAGACAGATTTTGCCAGGGAGGCCCAGGGTGGCAGACATGCAGCCTCAGGACCAAATGTCACAAGTGGCAATCTGTTGGGCACTGAAGGGCCGCTTCTGTGTGATGGAGCACAACCCTACAAGGCACACATTGCTCAGCACTGCAGGAGCAGAGGGCTGGCAAATATCTTTTCTTCCCTCTTCAGGCTTTGAGGAATCCTCAAAAATAGGTGGGCAGTGCAATGGTAGAGTAGATACAGCAGTCTTTGACCGCTTCAGCCCTGTGCCTGCTGCTGTGTGTGAAGTCTCAGATGCAGAGCTGGATCGGCTCTTCTGCGTGCTTCAGGAGAGACAGGGCAGGATTGATCTGAGGCAGCTCTGCTCGCTCTGGGCGGCACGTTTGAGATCTGACAGTCTGTTGCACCAGAGCACTTACTAATCCACCTCATTTAAAAAATGATGGCACTGCACATGGTGGCAGGTTTATCTTATTACGATTTTCCTTTTGAATATAGCAAAGATTGACATTATGAAAGCAGAGTTAGTCTGTCTTCTCTTCCAAGTGAAGATAAATGGCATCATAAAAATCAGACATCATGTATCATATATGTTATAAATAATACCTGGTATTGAGGTAATAACTTAATTTTAAAGACACACATACACACAAATCCATATATCTACATCTTCCTCTTCTGTCATATTTGATCATCTTACTAATTAAAAGGAGCCTGCTACCCTATTTTTAGCTATGCAGTCTCAGCCTAGCTGTTTAAACCACTGTAGTTTCCCATCTGCTTTAGGAATGATTTAATAATCAGATAGACAGAAGCTTAGTTCTCATAAGCTGAGATGATCCTTCAGGGCCAAGAGTAGAAGGAAAATATATTTTAATGAGTACATTTAGGGAAACCAATGGCGTTCTTGTCTTGCAGAAGAAGCCACCAAGTCTCTGCCTAACTTGTGCTGGTGGTCATTTACATTTAATGAGTGGGAAAACAGGAGGGTTTATTATTATTTTCCTTTGTCACACCTTGCAGCATGTAGAGGTTTCACTCTAAAGCAGCAATGGTTACTCCAGCAATAAAATGATTAAACCAATTGATACCAGCCTCAGCGGGTACCTTCAAAAGATAAACCTGGGCAGTGATATTCAGACTTGATTTCAAACTTTCCTAAAACTGTAATATTTCAAGGAAGGAGTTTCCTCCGTAAGTAAACCAGTGTCTAAGTTTCCAACGCAGTGTCAAAGCACTAACCCAGTACTGAACAGATTTCCGCATTTTATTCCCAACTCACATTTGTTTATGAACAAAAGGCACTCACACAGCTTTTGAGAGCACCAGAGTTCTCAACCTACGTGCTTTAATGGACAAGAGAGTTAACAGATCAGGCATACAGGGTTTACCTGGAATTTCTATAACGTCTGATATAAGAGCTCCTGTGTGCCTCTTCCACTGATGGAGTATAAAAGAAGAGTGGTTCAGCCTGGCAGAGGGGAGGTGTTTGCTGGCAGAGTCCCCCGTGGACCTCAGCCCGAGCAGTAGCAGGAGCTGGC